CTGCCGTTTGGGTTTGGGGTGTGTTCAGGAGCCCGTGGGGGCGTGCACGTACGCTCGCCCTGCTTCTTGATCTTCAGCGTGACCGTCTCCCCCGCCTGCTGCAGCAGGCTGATGGCTTCGCTCAGCGGCTTCCCTTTCAGGCTGCTGCTGTTGATGGCCAGGATCCGGTCGCCCACGTGGATGGCCCCCGTCCTACAGCACACCCCACAAACACATCAGTAACTGTAAACTACCGTGTGATTATACAAAAAACACAAGTTTGCCCACGGTGACTACAGGACAGGACATGTTCCTATTTTAAGGATCTCGGCGCGGGTTTATTGTTACCTTTTCTCTATTCTCTCATGCTTTTTTTATTTAATCTTTTGTTCCTTTTTTTCTGTCTCTCTTTCTCTTTTCCTGTCTCAGGTTTGGCATTAACCATCTTACTTATGTAACAAATCTAAAATAAATAATAAAGCAGTATTGGATGATCGGGGGAGGCTTCTCACCCTGACAGGCCTCCCTTTGCAAAAGAAAGACAAAAAAAAAAAGAAAAACCTAGTTCACATTCAATTAATCTGATCAGATGCAGGAGTTAAAGTCAAGAAAAAGCTACAAAGTCAGGAAATCTGTCAAACAAAAAAGAAAAGCTAATTATTGTAATATCACATATTCACAGCAGGGGGCGACTTTTAACACCTTTTCCTTCCTATAACTGATTTATTCTATATTTTAATTCATGCAGTCACTGTTACGATGTGAAAGAAAACAGAAAAAAACTACTTTCCTCCATTTGAATGACATTAAGTGTTTGACTATTTTTAAGAAACATGTTGCTGACCAACTCAGAAATAATTTGCTTTACAGTATCAATCGAATCATTTCATTTAATTGATTATCCTCTTTGTATTTGAAGGGGGTCGGTGTGTGTTTGTACCTCTCAGCCAGACCTCCCTTGCTCAGAGAGGAGATGATGATGGGGTCAAAGGGCTCCTCTGTGCCTGAGATGGTGATCCCCAGGGGGCCTCCATACCTCTGGAGCTCCACTGTGTAGATAATGCTGCCAGACACCTCCTGCTCATCTGAAAGATCAGAGCAGACTTATTCAAGCCGGGGATGACTTATGATACGGAGGCATGCCGACGAGGTGAGTCACCAGAGAGATAAAACTTTGCTATGAACTCAATATTCATTCTTGAAGATGTGAGAGCGGAAAGATGAGAAGATGGATTAAGGAGATTCTACCAGTTTAAGGGGTCATCAAGAGTATCCGTACGGAGGTTAAGAGCTTACTGGCTTCTTTGAAATCAAACAAAATGCTCTTAAAGTCTATTGCACGTTTGCTGTAGATGATTTATTATCTTTTGAGGGCAAACTGTTTCCTGGCAGGTTAAAGTAACCCCGACCTTAACCCTAAGATTAAAAGGTTTCTTTCCCCTGAGCATGTTTCCAAAGCGTCTGAAAAAGTTTGTATTGTGTTTCTCAGTTATGGTTCTGGTGTTTTTAAATATGCTGAACAGGCTGCAGCAATACCGATTAATTTTAGATCAAACAAGTTAAATATGTGTACACACATATGTAATCCTGCGTGTATGTGGATATATATTTAGGCAGGATAAGGATCAAGATATAGCGTAAATCATCTTTAAGGCTGTTTTATCTGGTCTCAAATTTTCTGTAAAAAAAAAGAAAATTAGGTTTGGATGTCCCAAATACTTGTGGAATATTTCTCATAGTTCAGGCCTCTCAGAGAGCTGGATGTGGTTTTTGTTGCTCGTGAAGAGAACTCATCTGAAGACCTTGGACATTAAGTACTCTTAATAGAATAAACTAAACGAAAAAGGCTCTGAGGATCATTGAGGTTTCAAGGCTCCTGTTGTTAATTCATGGAATTCTATAATTCTCAGAAAAGATTATACAAATTACAGAAAATGTCCCGTCTGCTGTGTCCTTAAGAGGCTCCGAGGATCCTTAATAAGTATTTTGTGTCCATGGGAGTCCCTGGGGATGTTTTATGTTAATTTAAAGGTCTTTTGGGTTATTATGGAAACTCTTGAGCCATAGAGAGGGTACTGAAGACCTTTAAGGCCTTAATTAAGTCACAAAAACTTCTCCAGATTCTTTAAGTTTCAGAGCTGCTGTATTAGAAAGCTTGTGCCCTTGTAAAGATTCTTTATGAGCTTCTTTCTGACAATCAATGAAGAAGTCTTCATTGATCTTTATTGTGGAGGTTGTAGGTATTCATCAGACCTAAAGGCTTGTTTGGATAGATTTTAAATATACCTGTGAGTCCATAAAGAGCTTTAGAGGACTTTGGTTCAGTGAGGAGGTTTTAGAGTGAAAAGGAGATCATGAAAGTTGTTAACAACCTTGAGTCAATGCTGAATATTTTGAAGGATCACTGATTAGTTTCTGAGAGTCCTTAAGGATTTATGGCGCTCAGTGTTATTAACTGGTATGATTTTTGGCCAGATTGAGTAAAAACCTGACAAAGTTGTTGAGACAGTTTGAGGCAAACTGAAGATGCCTCATAAGTAAGCCAACAAGAAATATTCGGAGTTGGAGGAGATTTTATGGGTCCTTGAGGTTTTTTAACGACTCAACATTGGCATCTTCTTTTGCAATCAGCTTCTTGTTTGGAGGCAAAAAAACAAATCGATAAAAGATACCCGAGTTGTCTTCATCTTTGCGGATCTTCAGTTTGACGAGCTCCTCACACTGCTGGAGGATCTGCACAGCCTCCTCCATGGAGCAGTTCTCCACTCGGATGTTATCGATTGCCAGCAGCTTGTCTCCCAGCTCCAGAGTTCCCGTCCTGTCGGCATGCGAAAAATAAAGATGCATCACAAAACAGACTACAGACGGAGCTCCACTACACTCACAACTGTTTAATCGATCAATGGAAATTTAAATTACGACTATTCTTATGACTCATTGGTTCAGTTAATATTGATAAACGGGTCCCTGGATCCTTTCTTTAGTGGATGCAGAGTGTTTTGTTTGGTGATGTTCCAGAGAACCTACAGAGAGCAGATGTGACCTGCTGGTTAGCCAGCAGAAGCTCCGTAATTCACATTATCCTGACCTACATAGAGGAAATACAAACAAAGGCCCAGCCCCGGACTGTTAGCCTAATTAACCAAGCACCTACAGGACACAACACAGCTGACACCGGTTCACTTCAGCATCAAATACGAGACAAATCTGGGCCCACATCTCTTCCTGTTAAAGCCCATTCTGACGTTTTGGGGGTGAAAACTGGGCTGGATGGGCAGGTAGAGTTAGCGTGGGTCACCTGTGTGCAACGCTGCCTTTCTTGATGTCGGAAATGATCAAAGGATCACCGGGTTTCCTGTTGGACGGAGCTGCGACACACAAATAACACAAATCAAACCGTCAGACACAGGAACTATAAATGATTCAATGTGTGTAAACTTTTATTACCAGAGATAATTAGAAAAAAAGATTTATCAAAGCGGGAAATATCATTCTGATGTGAGGAGATGCGGGTTGACTAAGTGCTGAAATCAGTCATTTCAAATGTAATTTAACCATGAGCAGATAATCTGTTAACAGCAGGGATGATTTTCCTCTTTCCGAAACCTCTCCCATTATCGGCTGCTTTGATTAGAGGCTTTCACACTCTGTTCCACAGGCTCGGGCTGGGAGGTGTTCATCATTCCTCCTGGATGTCCATCTTTAAGTGTGTGTGTGTGTGTGTGTGTGTGTGTTTGTGTGTGAGACTCACAGCTGATGGTGATACCCAGCTCCACTCCTGGCTTCTTCGGGAGCTTGACGTGGAACGTTCCTGAACTGGGGATGACCGACTCTGAGACACAAACACGCATCATTTCATTCAAAATATGCCAGATTTTGAGCTATTCAATGACTATGTGCCACAATAAATGTCTATTTGCTTCTGTAGAGGTCCTGTCTGCACACAAACTTGTGAATTTTAAAAATGTATCACTACACTTTTGATTCTACACACATTTTATGACTTCCATAATTGATTCATGAACATTTTTTTATGGCCTCAGTTTTTATTCAAGCAACTTTTGTTAGTTTTACCTAGAGGGAACTTTAATGAAACTATAAATGATGAGAAATTTAATACTGGGTAAATTATTAAACACGACTGATTTAGCAACACTTTGTTAAATAAGCTTTAAATTAATCAGGTGACCAGTATTAAAGTAAAGTATTTATCACTCACTCATGGCCTCCACTCTTTTAATATCCAACTTTTGTACACCTTAAAATCTGACTTTATCCGACTTTACCTGAAAAATATTCATCACTTAAATCATTCCCCACTGACACTTTTAAAAACTATGACAAACCGGATTAAATCCGACTGACATAGCTAATAGAATATTCCGGTAAATGGCAGCTAAATTGATGCTTAAAGTTTGTTATAATGAATATGGTGAAACATTGATATAGCAACAAATTCAAAAGCTTAATTATAGAACTACATTCCTGTTTAGTTTCCCGATTAATGTACAATTTTGAGTAAAAAACAGCTTCAAGTCTTTGTGAGAACAGCTAATAAGAATAACAGATCACATGATGAATAGAAGCTGACATTAGTCCAAGTTAATCAGGAATTTTTCCATGAAATTTTCCATTTATAGATGCATGAAATGACCCCATTTATGTTTTTTTAAAAAGGAATTGAAAGAGGAACGTTCACTGTGCTGTCTAAATCCTGTTGAATCATCTTGTTGTTTAACTCTGCTGACAAATTCACTTGCCCTGCCTAATTTTTTGTGGCATAAAATGTGATGAAATGTAGCATCTTAAACAGATAACCACCCCTTCTCCAATAATCATACAACGTTTTGTGTGAGACATCAGTGACAGCTTGTTTTGTTCGGTGTTAAACTCAGACGTGGGTGGTTATTTATACCAGCCCATTGTGTGAGACCCACTAGAGTCTGATAAATTACACAGATGCAGAACTCGACACAGACTGGCAGCAGAGCAGCCAAACGAGCAGACTGGAGCTCATTCACAAGCATCAGGGATGTTTACAAGCCGACAGAGAGACAGTGACAGCCTCCCTGTTTTTGTTCACCTGCTACGTCAAACTCAATCTCCAGAGTGAGCTGAGCCGTGATGGACGAGTCTCTGAGCAGCTGATTGGTCTCCTCCAGAGTGGAGTCTTCAGTGGGGACGCCGTTAATGGACAGAATCCGGTCGCCAATCTGCAGGATGCCACACCTCCAAAAGAAAAAAAAAGGGCAAAAAAGCACAACCGTTACAGGCTGGAATCAGGAATCCTGCTGGTATCAAAGTTACAAAACAAGAGAGCAGTCAGAATTTTAAGTGCAATTGTTTGCTCTCTAAAAACTAATTACTACTAACAATCATGAAAAGAAAGAAAAGCAGTAAATAATAGAAACGTTTCCATGAATTATTACTCTTAAAAACTGTGTTCGGTGTTGATGAGGAACTTGTTAAAGAATAAAAGTACTACCAAGAAAATACATTTTGGGGAAAATAGAAAATGTACATGAATAAACAAAGTTTCAATATCTAATTTGTAATATCAAAGAGGTTACATAAAACTGAGAAAAATGATGCCATATTAGACAAATAAATGCTCACCACATAACAACCAGATTTTAGACCTAAATGGTAACAACAACACTAATAATAAGGAAAAATAAGAAGTAGAAAAAGTTATAAATCCTTCTATTTTCTGTTACTGGAGCTTTGAGGCTTTAGGCTTTTTTCCAGGGCATTCCTATATATTTGTGGTTAAATGACGGAACAGTGTGTTTGATAATGGTGAAAAAATAATAAACAGAGTCCAAGTGAAATGAAAGGGAGCAGCCGTCTGCTGAGGCGCTGATCCGCTCTTAATGTTGTTTTCTTGCCCCATGAACCAGTTCATAACCCGTCTTAAAATAGTTCCTAAGCAGATCAAAAATAGGTCCGTATTAAAGGGGCTGTGATTGTCCTCTCTCTGATGCCTCCGACAGGCTGTCACACCAAACTCTCCCAGCACCTCTGCTGTCAGACGCAGTTGAGCGGAGTTGAGATGAGCTCATTCATGAAGGTTCCTGTCCTCGGTTTGTGAGACAAACATCGTTCAGCTCCGCGCGAAAAGGCTTTCAAACAGAGGGCCAAACGTCGGCCTCGACTACATTCATCAAAGAGGAGATGTGTGGTTGTGAGATGATTTTAGAATTATTTTAAAAAAATAATAAATTTAGGTTGCGGAGAGTGCCACAAGGTTGTGAGTCCTTCGGGACTCCATTCAGAAAGTGTTCGACAAATAATATCCTTTCTGATCGTTTCCAGTCACTGAAAGCTGCCTTTACAGCATTTTTGTTCATTTAGCTCCAAACTGTTTGTATAAAGTGGTTCTGAAAGTGGTGAAACGGAGTAACTGTGATAAACGCATAAACATTTGGAAACTAGACATAAAAAAGAAAATACCCTAATAAACCTGCTACCTTCTAAAGTGAAGCAATTCATGAGATGAAGAGGTTTCTGTTCAGATCAAGAATATGAAAGCTAGCAGCAGAACGTCTCCGTTTGGTGGATCTGCTCAAACAACAGATGGATGTGCTCTGCCTGAGGTTCTGACTTGTGTCTTTTGAGTGTTTAGGGTCTGTAAGTCGCTTTGGATAATAAGAATTATAGTAAATTTATATTTAAAAATCACCTTTCATGCTACTCAAAGACACTTTACAAAGACGATCATCATTAAAACAACATTGAAACATAAGAAACCATACAAAGTCATAAAGAACATCATAAATTAATCAAATAAAAATGGAATGAATAAAACCGTGCAGAATGAGGGGAATGTTAGAGTTGGGGGTGGTACGGTGGGTAAGAAATTTAAACAGGTGGGTTTTGAGTTTTGTTTTGAAAAGAGGGAGAGAGTTTGTATTTCGGATGTCAGATGACAGATAGAAAGAAGTGTCTGCTAAATGCATAAACATAAACTCCCACCGAACTGTCTCAGAAGCTCATTAGATAAGCCAGGAAACATGGACGGGGGGGTCATGGGTGACTACCTCTCAGCGGGGCTGTCGGGGTCGATGTAGGCGATGAGGGGGGGCGAGGACAGCGTTTCCGTGGCGAAGACCCCGCCCTGCAGCTGGAGGCCGAAGCCCATGATGCCGTCTCCCAGCAGAGAGACCTCCGTGGTCTCCGTGTGGACCACCTGCCCGGCCAGCCCCACGGTGCTGGACGCCAGGGACACTGACAGGAAACAAATACAGGAAAACAAAGACTCACTCATTTCTGCCCCCGTGCTCTTAATGCTGACAGGGCAATAAAGTCGTAGAGGAACTAAGTATAGGGTAGAGGGTGAGTCCACCTTTAGTGATGCTGCTATAGGCCCAGACTAACGTGGGATTTCCCATGATGCACCGAGCTACCCTCTCCTTTCTCTCTCTAATGATGTTACTAACTAGACTTTTTCCCTTTCTCCTAGTCCTGTGCTTCCTCCTCCCCCTCCTCTCTCTTTCTATCACTTCCTGTAGGTGTTCCTGGATCTGTGAGGTCTGGATCTGTGTTAGGGAGTCTCCTGTTAACCCCCCCCCCCCCCATGGTCCTACTCTGCTACAATTACATCCACTGTTCATAGTGTTATTGCTGTTATTACTGCTATCATTATCATTACTATCAATATCATTGCCATTTTTCATCCAGTCTATATGTTACTGTGTAGGCTGCCTCCCTCTGTCCTTCTCTCTCTCTATCTCTCTCTTTCTCTCTCTCTCCCCCAACAGGCCGAGGCAGATGCCCCCACCCTTAGCCATGGTTCTGCTCCAGGTTTCTGCCTGTTAAAACGCAGTTTTTCCTTCCCTGTGTCTCCTAGTGCTGCTCTTGGTGGGAATTGTTGTTCTTCTGTAAATATCTCAGAGTCTGAGCTGCTCTGTTTGGAAAGCTGGGAGATAGTTGTTATTGTGATGTGGCGCTATATAAATTAAATTCTGTTGAACTGAACTCACGGGAACTCTTGAAGTCCTTCTTCTTGGCCTTCCTCCTCATCATGGTGCTGCGGGGACTTGTGGGATACATGTTCCTGGGCAGGGTGCTCATGTTGAGGGAGGACAGACTGTAGGCCGACATGGAGCCGGGGGAGAACGAGTGGCTAAGAGCTGCGGAGAGAGAGAGAGAGAGAGAGAGTGAGCGGGGGTCTCTCACTCTAAAAAAAAAAAGATAAAGGAGAAGGAGGCGGGTGGACGTACAGGGGTTGTTGGCATGGCGGTTGTGAGACCTGGCACCTGATTGGTCAGGGTGGTACGTGTTGTAGTGGTAGGGAGGGAGAATGGGGGCGGAGCCTCCGGTTTCCCAGGGGAGGGGGCGGGGACTACGCTGCACCTTGACTGCGTGCGCGCACACACACACACACACACACACACACACACACACACACACACACAGACACACACACACACACAAACACAACCAGGGGAGGGTGATCAGGTTAGAACAAGAGGACAGGTCAGAGGTCAAGAGGTGTTCGACATGTTTGTTTCAGCAATTTGTGAACCTGTTTTCTGCCTCCAGTGCTTGAAAATATGTAAATTGAAATAGGCTTTAATTTCTTTGGTAAAACAAGCTCTGGAACATAGGATATCTTAGCTAAAATCAAAGAGTCAAAGCAGAGGCAGCAGAATATTAACACAGTTGAGTTAAGGCTTTATGGAAACGGATAAAAGGAATAAATATCTGAAGCTGAGACAATAACTTTCTATTAAATAAGCAGTAAATGAGTTGGAAAGTGTGTGAGGATCCTGGGGGAAGTGATGAACACCAGTACTCCACTCAATAGCTGAAGACCTGTAAGTAGATCACCACAATCCAACAAAGACATGATAGTAAGTTCTAACTTTTCATTTGGGTCATCTTAAACAAGACTTGCTGAAAACAGTCCAAATGTGTCAGCCAGTAGTAGAGATGCCAGCCAATCAAATCGCCTCACCGATAGTGTGTCGGATCTCTTATCTAATTGTTGTTCCAACATTAGGTCTAAAGCAAGTAGAGCGTAAAAGCTTTGGCTAAATGTGTATACTGCCAGAAGAGAGGATCATCTAGTAAATTCCTAGTTATCTTTATTAGGATACTGAGAGCTAATCTCAGAGGGGCTTGTTTCAACACAGCTGCATGTTTACCGTCTACCAGAGGCTATTTAATTCCCATGAGACAAACAAGACAGGTTTCCAGGACTGCCTTCTATCTCTGCCATACTATCTCCAAAATTAGAAACATCCTGCCTCAGAGTGATTCAGAAAAACCGTAGGCATCTGTTAGAATGTAATGCAAAACACCCTCCAGTTTGGGTTCAGTTCAGGTTCAGGGAGCAGGCCCCCCCCCGCTCTACCTTTAAGGTTCAGCTTCAAACCTTCCTTTTTGATAAAGCTGATAGTTAGAGATGGCTCAGTGACCCAGATAGATCCCGTAGTTCTGCTGCTATAGGCCCAGATGTTTCTCAAAGCTGTTTTCTCTCAAATCCTGAGGAACACCCTTTTTTCCACTGAAAAAATGTCTGTAATCCCTTCTAATATTTGTCTGACAGATCATTTTCAAACCATCTCATTGTACATTCAGACTTACACTGATCCAGTTTTGTTGTACTACTGATCCACTGTTACAAACGTCTCCTTGATGCTGTCATAAAACCGTCTGAGGCCCCTTTCCACAACCCAAATGTTGTTTTGTGTGGATCAGAACAGAAGTTGTTTACTCTCCCCGTGTGAGAAGAGTTTGCTTATGATATTTTTAAACTGTCTCAGCTTGTGCGTGCGTCTGTTGTTGTTTAAAAAAAAAAATCAAATTCATGCTAATTAGAGCCTGTAGCGCAGTGTTTGGGTTTGTTTAGTGGTGTCTGGTCAGGGGAGTGTTTGTACACCACGCTGTATTTTACTAAGTGTGTGTTGAGGGCCCATTAAGTTTGATGTGTGCGTTTACACAGAGCCAGGGGGAGATTAGGGCCAGCTGAAGTTCGGGCCCTATGCTCCACTCCGTTTGTGCGTTCCTGTGGAGATCGACACATTAAGTGCAGCTCCAGACCAACTAGCCTTAAGGGGAAGTGGACCATAAATCGTCCCACACAGAGTATGGCTCAGTGCTGCCCACTGATCTGTTTCCCATGGAAAGCAGTATTTCTACATCATCCCTTCACTATCAGGTTATTACACAGAATGATAGTGTGTTTCTTTAAATTCCCCCGGTGCATCTAAGAATGTTTTATCTGAGATTCTGCATTAAGAAAGAGTGTAAACCATCCCCTGGTTTAGATACAGCTACCTGTCATATTTACACCTGTCATGAAGCATTACCCAAAAATACAGGGGGGTAGAAGAGGATGTCTGAGATGTAGAGGACGAACAGAAGAGAAAAAAGGAGGATTGAACACCCTGACTGCGTTGTAGCTGGATAACATCTTTCTTAGTTACAGTATATTTTCTGTGTGTCACAACGGTAAGGTCTAGTTGGGGTTTTTGTCCTGTCTCCATGTGGTCTTTTTCTTTCCTGTTTTATTTCGATAAGTAACCTTCCTCTCGTTTCAGGTCTCTCGCCCTTTTCTGTGTGTCACCTGTCAGATTGTCTTCCCTGATCATCGATTGTGTTCACCTGGGGTTCCCTTCCCTTCATGTGTTTAAATAGTCTGCTTCTCTCCTTGTCTGGTGCCACTGAGTTTAATCTTTAGACCCGAACTGAGCGTGAACCTTGTCCTCGAACCAAACCCAAGTCTTGAACCCTTCCTTGCGTTTCCTCCTCAGAGTGAGTTCATGTTTGTACAGTTATAGCCTTTGGCTGCCTCGTTATTTGAACCTCTTTATTTGCACTTTATAGCCTTTGTCATCCTGGTTCCAGAGTGATTTGATACTTTGCCTTTCCACTCCCAGCGAGTGCGCCTTTATTTAAATTAAAGTTTTTGCACAAAGATCTCTGCATCTGAGTCCTGCCTTGAGTCGCAATTCTGACATACAGAAAAGACAGCAGGGGCACAATTTTAAATAAATCTGCCATCACATAAAATAGATCAATCTTGCAAAAGTGTGTATTTGTACGTTGATATGGTGCATTGTGGGTCTTCCCCATTGTGTCTTAATACCATGCTGTGGGGCGTTCAGGGCCGGTCGGGCCTGGTGCTGAGGCAGGATCTCCATGCGGACGGTCTGACAGGATGCAGAGAGCAGCTGAGTGGCTTCAGCCAAAGAACAAAACTCCATGGACTTCCCATCAACTGACAGGATGTGATCTCCTGCGTGAAGAGCTCCACATCTGCACACAACAAAAAGCACCATTGTGTCAATTTGAACACCCGAAATTAGCAAAAATGTTCCAGCATTAAGTTCAGAAAGGTTCTTGAAGTAAACACAGGTGAAGTTAAAGAACTCATTTTAGTTAAAGATGGGGGAGACATTGATCCAACCCAGCTGGAAACTTTAATCAGTACACAGTTTGTTCAGATAAACCACACAAAGGTTTGTTTATTTTGTGTGTGTGTATCTGGTCGTGGCAAGACGCCAAGAGCATGAAAACCACAAATCTCCAAACTGGTGGAATTACATTCCTGAAAATGTTTCCTCTGTTAGCAGTCACTAGTCACTAAGTCACTAGGACAGATCCTAGATCCTAAGTCAGATCCATAAAGACGCCACCCTCAAAGCCTTAAAGTTCTGAACAAAAAGCCAACAACATCTCCATTCTTTATTATTTTCAATTTCCTTCATTTTCAAAAACAATCAGTCAATGTTTCTATGAGAGGTGATAGGGGTCCTACCATCTTTCTTCCAGCTTACCTGTCTGCTATACTGGCAGGCTTCACTTTGTCGATGATGATGACCTGCTTGCTGCAGAACATGGAAGTGGACAAAGCCACACCCAGACTGGAGCCCGTCGCCTTGGCAACCTCAACCAGCAGCGGCCCCGACGCCGTGGCAACAGAGTCTAAGAGATTTAAAAAACAAGACAAAAACACTGTTACACCCTCATTCGGTGTCCCACAGGGCTCTGTCCTGGAGACTGTCTTATTTCTTCTATGATTTTTTATTTTAAAAATGTATTTTAATTATGTTTAATAATGTCCCCATCTAATAAATATGATTATTCTCAGAGAGAATAGATCAA